TTAAGCATCCTCATGTATTGAACATTCAGATTTATTCAAATCATGGCCCTTTGGGGTAGGGAGGAAAACAATGGGGAATCAAATTCAAATTATTATGAAGTTATATATAGGAAGAAAATGTTTTTAAAAAATCTTTTTATCAAGAACAGCAAAGTCATCAATATGGAGACAATCTCAAGTTAGTATTTAAATTAAAGCCCCCCTCCCTTCAGTGACCTTTTTCAGTTCTGATCTGATTTGTGCTTTTTCCTAGCCGATTTGCTCAGGTGAGCGATGTGGCCCCTGGGCCTCTTGTTTAATTTGTGATTAGAAAAGGGATGCCCGGTTCCCTCTAAATCTGCCAATGGATAATATACTTGTATTAGGAACTATGAATGCAAAAGATTGAAAAGATCACTGCTCTAACCAATATCGAACTCTTATCGCTATTTATTTTTTTTTTGCAAGAGTTAATGATCATAGCCCAATGATGATGTCGTGTGCAGTTAGACGAGGTGTTGACGTCAGTACTGAAAGGAGTGACATATTGACCAATCTAGATTTGTGCACTAGACACCTATTGTCAATATCCATTACTGCACATTTACAAAACCAGACCAATTTTACACTGTATATGTATGCATGTGGGTTTTTTTTTTAGATACGTCTTAGAAGAATGGTGGGATCGTGGATAAGCATCTTCCCAAGTCAAGAGTTTGTAGGGTGCAGGAGGATAATGGGATAACCTTTAGAATGCGTACAACACACTGGGGGAGATAACTCTTGCAATTTCAATTGAACGTTTGACGTGACGTCAAATTTAACGTCAAAAATAAAGCGTCAAAATGACGAGTAAAACGATCCCGATGTATATCAATCATAAAAGGAAAATGGGATACGGAGCTTGGCTGTGATTATGATTACCATACTCAATCCATAAGTATTTTTTAATTAAGCCGATTAAACTCCGTAAAAAGCAAGACATAAAATACCATCCCTTAATGTTTATTTCATTTCATTTCATATACAATAAATTGTGTTCTTGATTAAAGCGCAGCATTTTTTTTTTATTCTGAAAATTTTATTTTACATTGCCGAAATTCTCATTGTGTACAATTGGCTAAATAACATTCCGATTAATGGACTTCAATCATTACAATTTGTGCATTTAAGATATAAATTTTGTTTTTCTTCTTTTGTTGAATAATACAACAATAAACAAACAAAAAACTTTTTACAATGTAAAATCGATGTTGTTCTCATACCCTTACTGATCAAAGAGGAACAACTCTGAAAATGTAGGAGATGTTTATTTTCCTCCCTTTATTCACGGTTTTCCACAGAATCAGATATACATTTACAGCAAGGCGTGATAAATCCGAGAATTGAATACAATAGACCTCATACACACAATGTAAGTATAGAATTGAAAAGAATTGTTTACTAGTACTGAAATTATCTGCATTTATGAATATCCTATTGCAGCAAATCGTTTGACTTTCTGTCACTGTCAACAATGTCGGTTCGCATTTCCTCGAATCAAAACAAAACGTAGCTTATAAGATTTTTAAAAATATCAATGTGCGATTTGATATAAATTGAAATAGATGAAGAGTTTAATGTTTGATATTTTGAAGTTAATGTGAACGAATACGGAATTTTCATTTTAACTTTAGAAGCAACGACATTGAAAGAATGTGTTATGAGGGGTGTACATTTATGCAAATGTCGATGTATGCCCACGGCCACATACTGTCTCGTTTGAAATAATGACATGAAAGAAACTACAATTATTCCATTTATATCACAGGAGAGTTGAACATACACCATTTTTTAAATAAATAAAACTAAAGAAATAAAATTAGAAAAATTAAAGAAATAAAATTAAAAATCAACATATTTAAGTTCAACATAACTTGAATTCGTATCCAGGTTTCATGTGATATGGAATGCATAACGCATACATATATGGACAAAACACTAAAATCCTTCAGTAATTTTTGTCCTGATACATATAAAAACAGTAGTCAATATTTATTCTGCATTCGTGAATTTAAAAACTAATGCATACCTCCGGGATTAAAATGACGAAATACTAGTATATTTGCACTGAAAACGACGTTTTGTCAAACGCTAATGGTTTGCGACACAAAAAAGGAAGGGGTGGTAGAGGTATTCAAAAATTGCCTAAAAATCTACATTTAAATATGCTTTACATATGAGAACTTTTAAAGTTGTAAGTTAATATGTTTTTGAAGCAAAAGCAATATTCCAATTTGATTTTTTTAAAATGTGTATTTGTAGATTCATATAGCAAAGTGATCGACCCCCGTCTGAAAGACGCGCGGGAACGTGATTTATTGAGAAAGTGGGAGGGGGTAGTTTTCCGCTATTAAATCAAAACTGGTCGTACAAAAATTATACAAAAAATTATGAAGATTATTTTTACTACCAGCTACCTAAAGAAAGTTTTTTACTAAAATTAAACGACAGGTTTTTTCACAAAAAAAATTTGAATTTGAAAAATACACAATTTTCAAGGCTTAGATACTGTAATTCAGTAATTCATAGTTTTTCAGTTTAAGGTCTTTAAAAATTATTTTGATGATATGTATATCAAAAAGATGACTATGTTTTTGTGTTAAATGGTTAAAGGAATATGTAAATGAAATTTGACATTTATATCTAACCTGGCTTTTTTGAAAATCAAGGTTTAAATAGCTCATTGATCAAAAATTTTCTCTCCTTGTAAACAACTAAAGGGGGGTAAATTTTGGAATTTCCTGTCCAAAAACCACTCGAACGATTTTGTCCAAAATGTGCATATATGCAGTAGATATAGTCATGTACTAAATATACAAAAATAACGAAAATTAAACGACATATTCGAGCACTAGCCTGGAAGAAAAATAAACTGCGGTCATATTTCTTCATAGATTTGTCAAACACATTCTATTGCAGTGTAGTACTCACCATCGTCTTTCTCGGTTAAGTGTCGTGGATATAAGACCCTGGCATCTCCTGATTTTGGTCCTCAAGGTCTAACGATACTCATGTCCCTATAGTATATCTGATTCTGCATTTCTTTGTTACATACTAAAAATATTTAAAATTGTAATGGATGTGCAGTTTGATCTTAATTATTTTTTTTTTATCTTGAATTACAGATGTAAACACCAAAACTGTATACATGTAAGAACATACAGCTTGATGAATTCGAACAAACTCTTATTTGCTATAGCACCATCTGGTTTGATATTAGTTGACAATTTCTATCCATTTGTCGTTCATCATTTTAAATTTTAGGATTAAAACTTTAAAATAAACAATTACTCCACATTAGATTGAGAATGAGAGATAATTAATGATACAGTCGAGTCTTGTGGGAATCAACTGTAAGGTGTAGTTGTAACAGCAGCAAAATTCTTGTGTTCATCCGATGGGCTTTTTGAAACGTTTTTGATAGATCAGAGAAGTTTCAATGAAGGTTAAAGTGTGAAATCTATATGAAAGCGGAAACTCATTGGCAAGTCTTGCAGAATTTTTGAACATGCATATCTATAAATTTGCAACTTTGAAAGCTGATTTTTTTTTTAGTCCAATTAATGTGATTAATTAATTGACTCTTCCCACGATACCCCGCACTGTTTGCCCACTTCTTACTTCTTGATGAGTAACATGATCGATATTTATTTGGTATTTATCACAAACATTTTCATACAATGCTCTTTCTCTACGGTTATTTCGTTGGTAATAGTTTATATATATCTCTAGTGACATATCAGGTATCTGGTACTACTGGGGCCCACATTAATTGGACTAAAAAAAATCAGCTTTCAAAGTTGCATCTATATCAGATATGCATGTTCAAAAATTCTGCAAGACTTGCCAATGAGTTTCCGCTTTCATATAGATTTCACACTTTAACCTTCATTGAAACTTCTCTGATCTGTCATAAAAGTTTCAAAAAGCCCATCGGATGAACACAAGAATTTTGCTGCCAAGAAATTATTGTTACAACTACACCTTACAGTTAATTCCCACAAGACTCGACTGTATCATTAATTATCTCTCATTCTCAATCTAATGTGGAGTAATTGTTTATTTTAAAGTTTTAATCCTAAAATTTAAAATGATGAACGACAAATGGATAGAAATTGTCAACTAATATCAAACCAGATGGTGCTATAGCAAATAAGAGTTTGTTCGAATTCATCAAGCTGTATGTTCTTACATGTATACAGTTTTGGTGTTTACATCTGTAATTCAAGATAAAAAAAATAATTAAGATCAAAATGCACATCCATTACAATTTTAGATATTTTTAGTATGTAACAAAGAAATGCAGAATCAGATATACTATATGGACATGAGTATCGTTAGACCTTGAGGACCAAAGTCAAGAGATGCTAGGGTCTTATATCCACGACACTTAACCGAGAAAGAACGATGGTGAGTACTACACTGCAATAGAATGTGTTTGACAAATCTATGAAGAAATATGACAGCGGTTTATTTTTCTTCCAGGCTAGTGCTCGAATATTAATTTTTATATTCGATACTCGGGCAATTCGACGAATACTCGAGTACCCAGTTTCTCGTTGACAAACCTTTTAAAACTGAACTAAAACTAAAAATCACACCGCTTAAATGGTCATATTTGGAAGATCAAATTGATAAATGAATAAATACAGCTATCAGTCGTAACTATAATTCTTAATATAAAGTTTCGATACCGCTGTAAAATCAAGAGCCATACCAGTTTAAAAGCATCACTGTTTTGGCCTTTGCTGCCAGTTTAACAACAATAATTAAGCTTGAACCGTATTCAAGACAACAAGTGTTTCTTGATGGTTAAGTTATAATTATTAAATTTCACCATAGAATATTTCATTCACTTATTTCTTTGAACGAAAAACGCTTGCACTGTTAAGACATGTTTGATGAATGTCTCCTTGATCATAGTTCAAGGCTGTTTATTAATTCAGAAACCAAAATTATGCTACTATTTCATAACAAAGAAAAATCACAACATATTTGGGAAAATCACAACAAAAATATGAAGATGACATTTTTTCCCTCTTCAATAGTTTCCATATACGTAAACAAAAGTTCAAAATACATGTTAATCACTAGCATCACTTCTTCCAGGAAGTGATTCCATCAGGTGAACTCTCGAGCTTTGTACTTCCGGAACGCAAGGTTCCGGTTCTCTTCACTATCTGTCTTAGAATTCATAGATTTTGTCAGAGTAAAGGACCTGGTGCTGGAATAAAAAGAAGTGGCGCCATCTCGTACGATTCGAAATACCTTTTTTGTACACACAAAGAACACTGCAATAAAGAAGCCTTGTAAAGTGTTAAAGAAAATAAACAAATACCACATGACCACGTGGTTTGTTACTGATGCAAGAAATCCAAAACACCAGGTTAACCCCATCACAACCGAAAGCTTTATATAAATAAATAAATTACAAGCATCTTTTTTCTGTAGAACTCGTGATGTCTTTTTAGATGAAGTGTGAATGCTTATAGCAGACACGGTGAAGAAAACGATGTTTGAAAGCAACAGAATTGCAATGGGAACCAAGAAGAAAACAAGCAGACCTCGGCTGTTTGAAATCCAACAAAAACCTCTGCCATACGCAGGTCTGAAGCTTGAATCCGAAGTATAATTAACCAAGGCTGCAGTCCCTACCAGAATCAACGTACCTAACCACGCATAGAGGGAATAGAAGCGGAAACGCTTTGAGGTACTCCCTCTTTCACCCGAATTTATAAAACCTTTAGAAAAAGTGAAAAATATGTCGAAAGACATTACATTCATCCAGAAAAAGGCTGCAAGGAAGAAGAAGTGTGTAAAAATTGAAAGGGCCTCGCATAAACTTTGGTTTTTTACCTCAAAGACAAATGGCGCCAGTAGAAATAACAGCTGAGCCACGAGCAAGGAAGCCATTAGACACATGAGATTTTTACCAGGTACATTGTGTAACTTTGAGGAACAGAAGTAAACAATAAGACATACAAACAGGCACGATATAGACAAAATTCCACCAATAAAAGACAAAAAGCTCTCTTCGTTTGAAAAATCGGTTGTCAGTCTTGTGTTGATCCATGGATCATCAATTTTGCTTTCATTTATACAAACGTAGGCAACCGTTTCATTTTCCTCCAAAGTAAAGTCAGTGATCGTTCTACGCAAAGAAAAAACAAAAATTGAAGTAGAATTAACCTTTTTAAACTCATTCTGACGAAAAAGTCTAGAAATGCATGAGGTGATGTTCGGGTCACTTGTAAATTCCTCTTCCAATAAACATTTACCGTTTTGATAAATAAATGGAGGTTTGCACACAATTTTGTAACACTGGCCGGTAAATGGATCGAGCAAATGGTTTCTGTCGCAGGTTGAGGGTAGCGGGTTTGTACTCTTGTTCTGTACCGATGATCTGAATCGCGTTTCCGACAACTCCCATCCACTGGTCAAATCAAATAGAACTCTGTAGCTGAAGTTGTAAATTTTTCGCTTTGTTATACTTGGAATCAGTTGTGAAGACTTAAAGTTACATGTAAGGTTTAGTTCAGGAAAATTTTGACATCTTGCACAATCGGTATTTCGATAGGCTATTTTAAATCCGAATACCGGTGCATAATTTCCGGATTTACATGACGTCATCAGAGAGTCATTTTGGCAACTCACCGCCGTTGTGATAGGAAAACAAGTCCTCTGCGTTAAGTTTCCCATTGGTGGAGAATAAGTTACACGGCAATTGGTATCGTTCAATAATGATGAAACTTTAAAATTTTCTGGCAAAGTATACTTCCATTTACATTGAATTCCAGGGTTCCACATTACATAATTATCTACATTACACAAAGCGCAATACATGTTTTTATATAAAAATCCTGAGTTTAGCCCACTGACTGGAATACGTTCAAAAACATCACTTCCGTTTCCATTTTCACACTTGTTTTTTAGTTCTGTATCAGCACCACGGGGACACGAATTGACAATCCATATAAAGTTCTCAGAATCGACATCCTCCCAATATTCACACGTAAAGTTAGGAATCACTTTGGTTTCTTCCGGTTTGTCGGTCACTTCTCCAGGACAACAATCCCCGTACACGGGACAGTCAATGTCACACCGACAGTTCTCCGGGAGGGTGTGGTTCCCTCCACATCGGTAGGTGTCCATACAGTACGCCTGTTCGGGAATCTGAAAACTGTCAGGAAAATTCTTCGGATCCAAATCGCTTAGAACACAATAAAACAACGTTACATTAAAAAACAAAATGATTTTCATTTCCCAGGATTGGCAGGAATTGTTAATGATTGGAGAGCAAAAGGAGCAATGCAGCGGGATACAATATGTACTCAGTTCAGAAAGTTTGGCACTTTTCACAACGAGCTCAAGGAGATTATATACACACTCGGAAAAGTGTTGATGCCGTCATGTGATACAAACTTTATTAACAATGGGAAGTAGAGAGGATCGCTATCCGTATTTGGTCAAAGGTCCACCTTCTCTGATTCAACGTCTATCAAAAATGAAGTTATACTTTCCAAATGATTTTGGCTGAACTTTGTATTGTACATTAATTACCATATCCAGGAAAACTTCAATTAGATTTGTTTGTTTTCACTGATCTCATTATTTATGCGTAAACTCGTAAAAGAGGTCTTTTGTCTCAGAATCACAGCAAATATTTGCGTGCCAGATTTCATTGTGGGATATAAAGAGGAAAATAAAATATTTAGAAATAGAACAAAAGACGATCTATAGTAACATTTATAGGACAGCGTTTCCGTTGATTAATGCATGGTGATTTTGAGTTACGTAGAGGTTAATTAATTAAATCTTTTACTGATATTACACAGAAGTTATAGATGCTAAAATTGTGCGTGCACGGATATAAAAGCTTTAAAGTACCTGTAAGGCTTTTTTTTATACCCCCCGCTTGAAAAGTGGGAGGGTATACAGTGATAACAATTATGTATGTATAACTGTCAGTCCGTCCGTCCGTCTGTTACGCTTTGGAATACCCATCTCTTATCTGCAACTCTTTTTGGTTGAAAAAAAAATACATGTATCTCGGATTTCATATAGCAAAACATTGACAATGCCATTTTTATGCCCCCGTAAACGAAATTTCTGGGTATATAGTTTCTGTTGTGTCCGCCAGTCTGTCTGTCTGTTTGTCCACAAAAACGTTAACATTGCCCATAACTTTTGATTTAGAGAAGTTATGACTTTCATATTTCACATATGCACTACTTGTGACAAGACCTTCGTTTTTGGCACCATCAAATTTGACCTTGACCTTGGAGTTTGACCCACTTTTACACAAAAATTCCAAACTTTTACTTCAGCCATATCTCTTGAACAGTAGATACCAGGACTTTTATACTTCATATATGTATTCTTTGTGGAAAGATCTTTCGTTGTATACCAACAGCCTTGACCATTTGACTTTGACCATGGAGATTTCCATACTTATGAAAAAACTTTAACCTTGGCCAGGGTTTTTGAACGGTAAGGGCTAGTGCTTTCAAACTTCGCATATGTTATTCCTGTCCTTTGAATTGGTATCAAGATCTTTGTCCCTTCTGACCTTGAAGTTTGACCTACTTTTTAAAATTTATAACCTTGGTCGTAACTTTCGAACGGTAAGGTCTAGGGCTTCCATACTTCTCATATGTATTCATTGTGACAAAACCTTCCATTGGATACCAAGAACCTAGACCATTTGACCTTGGAGATTTCCGTACTTATGAAAAACTTTAACCTTGACCATACCTTTTGAATGCTAAGGGCTAGTGCTCTCATACTTCACATATATAATATTTGTGAGAAGACCATTCATTGGATACCAAGAACTTTGACCCTTTGACCTTGAACTTGGAAAAAAAACTTTAACCTTGGCCTACTGTTATATTTCACAATTGTATTTCCAGAGAGAATACCCTGCTTTGGGTACCAATAATGTTAAATTTGCATTTAAGAAAAGTTTAATCTTCGCTATGTTGCCAGACGGGGGTATATCAGTGTTTCACAAACACATCTTGTTTCTATAATATTGAAGGGTAGCAATCTCTTATCCGCGTCTCCTTTTATACCACTGAATAACATTTGATAAGACTTTTACAAATTCTTTATTGCATAATGCCATTGTGCACAATCTATTTTACTTTTTGATTGACACTTACTTCAGCTCTCCCAGTGCAAAAACATGGACATTATATAATCATATGGGAGGCAGGGGTTATCATTTAGTGAGCTCAGTGCTCACAGTACCAATAGTTTATTTTATGGTAATAGGTTAGAAAAATACCGAGTATTCGATCATCAATTGCAACGTTTTCAATTTGGCACTACATATACTGGGCACTGTAGGATATCCGATCCTCAGCCAGGAAGGATAACTCCAAAATTAAAATTTAATTTGAAATGCATCAAAATGAAGCTTGAAAATGAAATATTTTCGTTTTATTCATCTTTATAAGATTCAAGGTTTTTGGAAGTCTTAGAAAGGGTCTTATAAAAGTTGACATTTGTACTCTATAAAAGGAAAAAAAATACAGTTTTAGAGAAATAAGATTTCCTTGACTCCAGCCCGACTCAGATAAACAAGCTTTTTACATAATATATAATATAGTAATTGAAAAGAATAGAAGACCTAGAACATTGATATAGCTACAGAACTGTAGCTCTCCGGAAAAAAATATATTGGCAGACTGGATATCTGATCATTGAGGCCAGCGAGCTACGGATAAATCTGCAGTTAGACATAGAATTTGTATAAAACCAATCATTGTCGGAACGATGAAAAAGCATTAAAATTGTCTGAATGTCTGAATAAATACCTGCATTTTTTAGATCAATTTTCAGTTGGAATATGCATAGGCCTTATTATGAAGTGCTTTTAACATTATATGCGGTAGTTCTATCATTATATGCGGTAGTTCTAACATCATATGCGGTAGTTCTAACATTATATGCAGTAAACACAACAATATATTAATATGTACTTCTCACATTATATACAGTATATTCATCATTATGTGTAGTATTTCTGTTATTATGATGATGCTGATCGTTAAATATTTAGTATCCCTTACTATGTTTTTTTAGTCACTCGGGTATCTGTTGTTTTAGATTTAGTAATTTTTCCCTAATACGATTAACTATAATAATTAAATTTGAAGATATACTGTAGGTAAATGTAGATTAATTTGTGAAGTCAATGCATCAAAAGTAGCTTATCTTACTATTTTCAGTGTATAGTATTTGCCTTAAATTTGCATTTCCTGATCAAACTGAGTTGTGTATATATACTTGATCTAGGCAAGTCTGCATTTCGTGATCAAACTGAGTTCTGCTTATATACATTTATCTAGGTAAGGATGTACCGATGGTCTCCTTTGTGTGGATTCGGTCACAGCTTTAGTCAAGTAGCACATTTCCTCTCTTAAGTAGATATATTATTAGATATAATTCATTCATCGTAAAAGACGTGAATCTGATGATTCATGTATCTTAACCGAGTCATTTGCACTTAGTTCAGTGTCATCCTCCTTCATACGTTTTAGCTCACCTGAGCTGAGAGCGAAAGTGAGCTTTTCTGTTCACTTTTTGTCTGGCGTCCGTCTGTCCGTTCGTCTGTAAATTTTTTACATTTTTTTATTTCTTCTTAAGAACCACTGGGCTAATTTCAATCAAACTTGCGAAAGACCATCCTTAATTGCAGAGGATTTAAATTTGTTCAAATGAAAGGCCACGTTCCCTTTTCAAGAGGAGATAATTAAAAAAAGAGTAGACATTTTTGCATAAATCTTCATCTGAAGAACAATTTTATTGGCCATAAAAGTTGAAACTTAGGTGAAACCTTCATAACATAATGTAGTTTGAAATTTTTTTTAAAATCATGACCCCGGAGGTAGAGTGGGCCGACAATGGGGGGTGGAAGTTTAAAAAAGGAATATGTAGGGGAAATTATGCTCTCAAAAATAGCAAAGCAATGATAAGTCAAATGAATATGGAAACATCCTCATATAGTTTAGATTCAGTTTTGTTCAAAACATGACAACTGAGGGGTAGGGTGGAGCTTGAACAGTTGATTAAATCTTCACATTTAATACAGTGTATTATACACGGACGTGGAATCGTTTATTACGGGGGGGGGGGGGGGGGGGGGTAAAAATAAAATTTTCTAGGGAAAAAGTTTGAAAAGCAAGAAACAAAATCCAAACGCGAAAATCATTTTACGGGGTGGAAGGGTGTGCATGTGTGGTTGGGTTTGGGTTGGGTTCAATTTACCATACTACCTTGTTGACTGCATTGCAACAAAAAAAAAAGGGGGGGTAACCTTTCAATGATCATTTTCAATAATATTCGGGGAAAAGATAACACCCCCTCCCTCCATCGATGCTGTATAATACAAAATAATCCTAGTTGATAGATACAAAATGATCACAATTCACATAATATAAAATATATCATCAACTCTCGATGTGATTCTTCATTTTACAGCTCGATCTACACATATGTCAGTAGGTTATCAAGTTCTTTTGTATTGTCCACACTAAGGAGCTTATACTAGTATACAATTAATTTTCAAAATACCAGACTTTGTACAGATAAAACCACTTGTAAAAGCTTACTGTATATACATATAATATATATACTTCATTTTCAATTCAAACTAAATGAAAATTTCAAAATAAAATGAAACTCTTTTTTTATCACACGGACCACAAAATTTACAAACTCGTATTCTTTAGTTTATTGAAACTTTCAATCTGATGTATCTGTTGATACAAGGAAAAAAGGAATTGAATTGATTCTTTAACACTTTATTGCATCCGCTTTTTCAATACTCGAAGAGTTTAAAGATAGTTTAAATTTTACGACATATGTGGACATTATCCCCCATTTTTTTCTTTTTTAGCATTTGACAAAATAATTGATATCTTGTACACAATTTATTGAAACTTTCAATGAAAGAGTTATCATTATGAAATGTTTATCTTTCCCGTTTTACATTGAAGAGTATAAGAGTGTGGTACTAGTATAAATGACAGCTTTTTGAACTAAAAATAAAATTAAAACAGCCTGACAAACTCCGCCCTCTTTTTACAGAACGAAGTTATAGCGACACTTGAGATGATACACAATAATTAAGAAATGGGATTTTAATCAGATTGAAATAATGTTTTATTAGCAAATTTAAATGCTAGAATGAAAAATTTCACTTGATATAAATTTGGCCCTTTTATGAACTATTACAATTTCATTAAAATTGGACTTCTACTTTTGCTCCTCTGCTATATTAGCTGCAGATCTGTAGCGTTATGGTTTTATATATTTGTCTTTGACCATAACGCTACAGATCCCGTAGTGCAAAAAAGGTGCAGTTTACGGCGCAATATTTTTGCGCTCTTTTGGGGAGAATTTCTCCACTTTCCAGCATCGTTCAATCAACTACCTTTCAACCCCTAATTCTAGACACATTATTTAATTAATCTATATTTTATCCATCTCCCAACCCTTTATAGTCGTCTCTACAAGTGATAAACTCGCGTGATTAAAATTATTTGTTAGATTACTGAAAATTCATATCCAGCGAGTTTATTGCCTGTAGAGACAACTATAAATGGTTGGGTGGTGGATAAACTATACATATTGGCTACAGAATGTGTCTAGAATTAGGGAGTGAAAGTTAGTTGATTGACCAAAGCTAGAAAGTGGAGAAATTCTCCCTAAAAGAGCGCAAAAAATATTGCGCCGTAAATTGCACCTTTTTTGCACTACAGGATCTGTAGCGTTATGGTCAAAGACAAATACATGTATATAAATCCTTAACGCTACAGATCTGCAGCTACTGCTATATACGCTTCAATACAATAGAAAATACAAGTCTAATTTTATTTATATAAAATGACCCTGTTAATAATTTTACGTAAGGTTACTTGGAAAGCTCTATAAACAAAAAAGGTTAATATCAAGAAAATACATATACATGGGTATTTTAATTCCTAAATCCTCCCAAGGAAAAAATGAATAACTTAATAAAAATATGCCAAGATAATAAAGCATTAAAGGGGGGGGGGGGGTAGGATGGTATATTATTCTTGTTTGTAATTCTTACATACTATGTTTTTTTCTAATTTTAGGTTGAAAGAAGGGAAAGTACCCCCCCCCTATTTTTAAGTATATACATGCTTACTAATGGAATATGACTTTAATGTGTAGAAGTATAAGGGTTAATCAAGAACAATTATTATATTTAAATGCCGCTTGTCACAGTTGATGCAGCATATCTCTCCCAACATCTTATCAAGATGAACAAATTGTTAAATTTTACACTGTGTTTAGAAGCAAAACTATGTGTCATCGATTGTCTTTGCCTTTAACATTTTAGAAACAGTTATTATTGATAAAAGAGTTCTTCGGAGTGTATAAAATGTACACGATCTTGGCAAAATCAATCAAGCCTATTGATTTTACCTATGCTTAAAATTTGGTACCACAGGTAGTGCTAACAATTATTCCATATATAATCGTGAAAATCGATGGGAATGAATAATTGATGGGGCAGGTTTAGAGAAGTTTTGTTTCAGCAGCTCTACTTATTGTTATTTTCTGCTGACGCCAATATCGATCCTGGACCATTACCTTGGTAGCGGGTCGATCGCCGTATAAAGACCTATTACGTACCCACTTTCGCGCAACATCAGTACCGCACATTTCAGAGTAGGTAAGGCCTTACTTTTTTTTGAATTTTGTTTTTGCAATTTCATATATATATATATATATCTATCATGACAAATACGAAAGGTTATAGTTTAAGTTGTATTTGATATTGATAATACATAAGAACGGAGTATTATACTATTTGAATTCAAAATATCTGGAACATGACATTTTTTCTTTATTTTTTACACGCCATTATCATATTACATGATTTTACTTGAAAGTTAAATTGTTTATAAAAAGCTATATGCTTTACACAAAATCCTAAAATATGTATTTGTAAAATATGTAAATATGTATTTAATTTGAAATACTCATTTGCTGGTTTTTATTCATTTTTGTTCCTTGTCCTTCTATTTAGTAGGTTTTTAGTACATTTAACTTTTCAACGCGTCTTTTTATTTGATTCCATTAACCATACGAATACACTGCAGAGCAAGTTAGTCAAAAGTGAAGCGCCATCTATCGAAAATATTTGACATAATCAAAGCAGAGTGATCGTTCCTGATAGCATCATCAACATTTCTCAAACAAAAAACAGTTTTCATTGTATTTATAAACGAAATACTCATTCAGAATGCTACAGCAGTCGATCTTATCATATGAGTAAGTTTAATTATTCCATCGTGTTCTAAATGTGTATTCATTGATCATTGAACTGATCATTGATATAAAGGCAATATTTGATGATCACCGTGGTTCATTGAACAAAATGTCAGAACCATGTCATGAACATGTCGCTGTAGATCTACTGTCATGTATAGGTATCATTTCGAAAAGAAACAGGTGTTGTATTATTGAAGAATTGTTGTTTATCAAGCCAGTTTTAACCCTTTAATATCTACTCATTCCAGGTTACATTTCTATAGGTCTTATCTAACAGTCAAAAGAGTTCAGTGAAGGGGTCTTTCTTGTGATTATCCCAAGACTTTAAACATGGCCTCGCGGGACAATCGGCCTATGAGCGCACAGTCACGCACGGCTTGGGAAGACATGGATTCTGGTTACGGTAGACCGGACAATCAGTTTGAGTTTGGGCCAAGAGACGATCCAGATTTACCAGTGGCTATGGAAAACGACATTTACATGGATCGCGACAAGGGGAAAAATGACCAGGTGGCTACCACCAAACCTGAGGAGAAGCAGGGATGCTTCACCAAATTCAGGAAGGGTGTCAGATGTAAGTTACCTTCTTTACATGTAATTAATAATGCATTTAACTTTTATAGTTATTTCCAAGTAACCAAAATTATATGTAAAAATGTTCTAGGGTTTTGATTTAGAAATGTTTTAACAGTAACCAAAAAGGATAAATTAAAATTTTAATTGATGTTTTTGTTTTCGATTATTTTTTTTTTATATGAGAGATGTACCTTTTTACTTTTGTCTTATTTGAAGCAATAAATTACACTTAGTATTAAAAATGAAATGGAAATAAGATAATCTTCTTTCTTGTTCAATGTTTCAGTTCAATTTTTTTATAGATCTAGTTTCTGTAATTGAGTACGGAATGTTTCTTTTATCTATGTTTTTGTGCCTATCATGTGTATTCATTCCTTGTCCCACTTTCTGAATTGATTAAATACTAAGCCTCAGATCGGGCATTTAAATTTTGTTTGTTCAAGTTTACTTAGTATAGGATTTTGGACCAAAGTCTCGCAGTGTCAACTATGTGGAATAAAAGAAAATTATTGATTTTTTCACTAAATTTAAATATTAAACAGAGGGAAAAAATTTAATTGTGTTCCAACTAATTAAGTCTGACTTTGGACTTAGGAAAAAGAAGATGATTTTGCTTGATAATTTTTTTTTAGGAAAAAATTATTTTTTAGGACCTAAAGAGGACAATAGAATTGTAGACACATGTGTACAACCTAGACCCATATACAGGAATACAGTTTTTTACATAATGTGATTAAATTAAAAAAAATATTACTAAAAAAATTTTTGAACTTAAAATATGAAGGTTCAAGAGATCAATTATTGAATTAACATGTAGATTCTTGTGAAAGGTTTTTAAATACATGATTTATGTGACATTAATATTATACACCATATAAGTAACAATACTTGTTTTAAGGTCATAAACAACATTTCTTACAAAGTAACTTACCCATTGCTAATTTTTCAAGATGTAATCTAATCAAAATCTTGGCACCATGAGCATGAACAGATGTTAATAAATCAAGTATACTTTACCAGATTGAGGTTTTAAAATCTGAATAGATATCAAATTTTGATATTCAAGTGTATTGAACAAAGATTTGTATCACTAGCCAAATAGTTGCTCACAGATACTCCCATTGTCTGAACCATTCAGTAAGCAAAAAGAATTGTCAAAAATTTTTGTGTATGATCTTAATAGACATTAATAGAAATAAAATTAGTTGAATATTTTCCTTTTAGATTTTTCAAAATTATACATTTATACAAGTAAAGCGAAATAAATCCTGGTTTTTATAATTACATTTTGTTTTGTAGCTCTGTGGGCCACCAGACAGACAGAGGAGACCAAAGGCAACAGGGAACTTCACGTGAAGACCACACTGAGGGAACTCATCATATATCTGGTGTTTCTTATCATCCTCTGTGTTGGTAAGTGGGAAAAATACAAATAAATAATTATATTTCATAAATTTTGAAATTTAGTGAAAAAATGGTGTATCATATATACCATTGAAAATCCATGTAAAAACCACATATTGATTTCCTGAAAGACCTCAGTGTTGGAAAGTATTTTCGTATGGTATTGATTTTTCATACCTGAAGACAAGATTATACATATTTCATCAAGTGTGCTCCAAAACACCATCGTTATCAATACAGATGAAATATTGATTCCTAACTTTTTCTCTTTATTGCTTTGGATGAGCTTTATAGCTATCGATTTTGGAATATTCTGTATTCTAATCATGTTTAAGGCTGTTGATCTCTGAAAGTATTGATTAATCTTTTGCATGTAATGTTTTAATCTGGAAGCAGTCAGTATTTTATTCCATTGCACCACAATAAAGTTGAAGATAAGCATAAGTCCAATTAAAGGTTATTTGAGACTTGAAAAAAACAAAGAAAAAAAGAAAAGAAAAGGCTGAGCTTATAGAACAGCTGATTCAAAGGGCAAAAAATCTCAGAGATAAATCTTATGTATGCAAAATATTTATCCAGCAAATTGATTTGATTTTAATGAAGTAATATTCAAGTACCGGGGTATGTAAATGAAACTGAAATAAACAGATTATACAGAAAAAAATGATAATTTCAGTGACCTTTGGAATGACCTCTACCACTATGTATTACTACACTAAGGTCATGAGTGACCTGTTCCTGGATACAACACACGAGACTGGCGGTACCTTTAGGACAATTACAAATGTGGATGACTTCTGGAAAGTAAGATTATTATTATTTAAATCCTGTAAATAAAAAAAAACTATTGAGTTCATTTTGTTAACATTTTGGCATTAAAAAAATTGTACCTCACACTTTTCCCTTTTCTGGTAAAAGGAGTTAAATTTATAGTACTCTGCTAAATGCACCAGTGTTTAATGTTAGTTTGCTCGAGGCCCTTTGGTGAAAGGCCTGCACTGGGAGACTTGGTACAACAACCAGCCTCTTCCTCAATCAGAACAAGGATACATCTACTATGAGAACAAGCTGCTGGGACTCCCCAGACTGAGGCAGCTTAAAGTCAGCTCCAATTCCTGTGTGGTCCATGAGAACTTTAAAGATGTCATCCGTGAATGTTATGACTCCTACTCTTCAAACCTGGAAGACAAAACCTCAGTTGTAAACCCAGACAATTACACTGCGTGAGTAGAAGTATATCATATTAGTATATTCTTAACAGAGATTTACTCTGGAATATGGTTTCAAATTTCAATAACTACAGGTTTGGTATTGCTTCTCTACATTATATGTATAGTTTGTGAATGAATTGAATATTTTAGACTAAAATGTTTTCAAGCCGAAAGTACATGTATGCTTGATGTCGTGAGCTGTTATTGTAATATAATGTTCTTCAGATTCACATACAAGACAGAGGATGAACTTGATGGAAGCAGTCACGAGGCAACCATAGCAACCTACAGTGGAGCTGGATATGTTCAGAATCTTGGAAAAACAAAGAATGAATCCCTTGAAGTAATAACTTATTTGTTTAATAAACTGTGGATAACTCGAGGGACTAGAGTTGTGTTTGTGGATTTCACTGTGTACAATGCCAACATCAATCTGTTCTGTGCCATTCGACTGATCGTGGAGTTCCCAGCAACAGGTGGAGCTATTCCATCCTGGGATTTCCGTACAGTGAAACTGATCCGATACGTAACCATCAAGGACTATTTCATCATGGCTTGTGAATTCATCTTTACCCTCTTCATTGTTTATTACATCGTTGAGGAAGCCCTTGAGGTAAAGTTTTTTTCTTCAAACATTTGTGTTATTGGCTAGGCTTAGTAAAGTGTGTTTATACAACATAACATGTTTTTGAAATGTCTTGTAGATCAAGAAACACAAGCTGTCCTACTTTAAGAGTCTGTGGAATATCCTGGATCTGACTGTCATCATCATCGCCTTACTCTGTATTGCGTTTGATATTTATCGGACGGTTGAAGTGGACAACAAGCTGAGTGAACTCATCAGTCACCCCGACCAGTATGCTGACTTTGAGTTCTTGAGTTACTGGCAAACAAGATTTGACAATGCTATTGCTATAGCTGTCTTCTTTGCCTGGGTGAAGGTAGGCAATTTTGTTTAGATTAATACAGTGTTCAAATACTGGGGTATACAAAACTTGACAAGATTTCAAAAAATTCTAAATGTAATCAACCCCTTTATAAACAGAAATTTTGTTTTTGACAGATCTTCAAGTACATCAGTTTCAACAAGACAATGACTCAGCTTTCCTCTACTCTCGGCCGTTGCGCAAAGGATTTACTTGGTTTCGCTGTGATGTTCTTCATCATTTTCTTGGCTTTCACACAGCTGGGGTACCTGTTATTTGGTACTCAAGTCAAGGACTTCAGCAACTTCCCCAACTCCTTGTAAGCTGTTCAAATTTTATCCATATTTCAATGCATATGAATGTTACATCATAATGTAATTGAAATACATGTACATGGTATATTTGTAGCTTCACCCTGTTCCGTATCATTCTGGGAGACTTTGACTTTCACCAGCTGGAGGCTGCGAACAGATATCTGGGACCCATCTTCTTCATGTTGTTTGTCTTCTTCGTCTTCTTCGTGCTGATCAACATGTTCTTGGCCATCATCAACGACACATACTCTGAAGTCAAAGGAGACATGGCCAACCAGAAGAATGAGTTTGAGATGACAGACTACTTCAAGAGAGTAAGTTCAGCCACTCTTTCATGTGACTGAATGCTTTTCAATTGGTTTAGTCTAGTTTTAGAAATTAGCACCATGTGTTTACGATTTTTGTTTGCTTTTCAGGGATACCAGAAGATGGTTGACAAACTGAACCTGAAGCGTGACAAGATCCAGGACATTCACGAGACACTTAAACACGCTGACATCAACGGTGATGACAAGCTTGACTTTGACGAATGGAGACAGGATCTCAAAACGTAAGACCTGTCTTAAAAATCAATTCTTTATTTTCACTTTATTCTTAAAAGAAAAATGCTTTTAAGTTTTGAACACACTGTATGTATAAAATCCAAAATTTGTAGACGTGGTTATGCTGATGGTGAAATTGAGGCTCTGTTTGCTAAGTATGACATTGATGGCGATCGTGTATTGGACAAGGATGAACAAATCAGAATGCAGGAAGATCTCAATAACCAGAAGGTATTTACTCTTGTTAAATTCATCCTCACAGGAAACTTGTACATTGTTCTCCTGGTATTAAGAACATAATTTGGACTTTATCAATCTTTATGCTTAAATATATTCCTTTTAGAAAGCTTTTGAATTTTCTTTATATCTACAATTTTTGTGTTATAAGAACATTATTTTAATTTTTTTTTTGCATGAAATAGCTAATTCAGATAAGGTGTTCATTGTAGAGAAGCATGTTTAAATATAGAAAACTTAAAGGAAAGCGTAAGGTAAAACAAAGAGCAGTAACCCAGGCAGCTTATAAAATTAACATAGACATCTTAAACACAAACTGCACAAAGTCAGCTCATGACAGTTGAATAACTGAAACACTGGCATTGTATTTAGTCAAAGAAATAACAAGATTTTTCAGAATTTCACAGCTTTTTCACTGTCATAGTGATCAGAACAATTTCACGCAGATTCTCTTGCAGTTTTCACCAGAAGTAGAGATGGCCACCTGATGTTGAACTTATCTTGAATTGATTATTGGATTTATACAGTCAAATAAGCAGAGATTTTAAACTCATATTACTTTTATACAGGCTGCTCTTAATAAGGAATATGACGAGTTAGAGAAAAGTGGAAACCGTCCAGGAACAGCGCGGAGAGCCAGTAGCAGAATCAGTGAAAATGACGACAGCGGTGATGAGAGTTCGGAGATTGACGACAATGGATCTAAATCCACCAGATCAGGCAGAGGTTCTAACGGTGTATCATACGAAGAATTTACAGTTTTATCTCGGAGAGTGGATAGAATGGAGCATTCTATCGGCAGTATAGTCTCTAAAATTGACGCTGTTTTAGTCAAATTAGAAGCTATGGAAAAAGCAAAACTTAAACGAAGAGAAACAATGGGCAAAATTTTAGACAGCATTACAGAGGTATGACATCACAATTAATGTGGCACTATATTTTGTTGATTTTTGTTGCACCAATTATAAATTTCTGGAAGCTCATAAATCCTTTTTCCATGACAGAGCACAAGAGTTGATGATTTTTAAAATAATTTGATTAAAATTGTACACATGAGTAACCAAGTTTGCCATTTTCCTAACAGTTTTTTCCTCCACTTTTCTCTTATGACCATTAATCATAACAAATGTCACTGCCTCCATTGTTCTCAAGGGAAGGCAAGTTTTGTTGTTTCACATTTTGTCTAACAATAAACAATGTTATTTAGACGGATGGCAGCAATAGTGATGAAATGAAAAGAGAACAGATGGAAAAATTAGTTCGAGAAGAACTTGAGCGATGGGATTCAGAAACCTCCTTTTCACCCAGCGGCCGAGGTGCTTCCCCCAGTAGTGGGAGCAGTGCCAGAGGGGTGAGGGCGCGGTCCCGCCCAGGGTCAGGACAGCACGGGGTAAGTCAGCAGTGTAGGCAGGGGAAATCTGTACAGAATATAGGGCTCTATGCTTAAGATTATCTCAGTTTTGAAAGTTATGCCGCATTATGTTGTTTCATACAAAGAAATAAATATGAATTGTCTACATTGACTTATGAAGGCGAAGAAATAATAACTTTTGGTAGGTTTGATTTTGATGAATGACATCTAAAAAATGCTAAAATGTATGAACTGCTTTTCAAAAGGTTGTCAGTGCAGCTTCTTAATCAAATAAAATTAAAACGTTGGATTTTTAATACCCTAACTCTTCTGACTTGCTGTTAATGCAGAGTTTGGATTAGTAAGTGATTTATTAATTGTTTTTATTTGGTTTGTTTAGTCCTCTGAAGTGTAATAGGGTAAATATGCAGACCACCACATTTAAGTAGCTCTTATTTTTATGATTCATTTTTATATTTTTGGTTCTCATTATGATTTGTATAATTTCAGTGCAAGTTGCATTACGTGTACACCTTTATTTTAGTTTTATACCATCATTTATTTGTTCAGTTGTAGAGAATTTGTTTTAGATCAACCTTGATTGAAATTTCATTCTTTTGTATGATGTTGTAGTTGGAGGTTAAGTGGGTGGGGGTAACTTTATCAGTAATTTAAATTGGGTTGATGATAAAGTATTCATTTTAGATAAGAAAGGGGTGTAATTTCAGTAAATTGACTCTTGGGACAATGGGGAATGTTATATTTTACTAACAAGTTTGAGAAGTTTTAACAAAACACTGTGTCAAATCTAATGATAAAGGTTGAAAGAGTGTTTGAGATAATGATAACTCACCAAAACTAAACTCTCATGTGAAGAATAATTTTTTTCAATATATTTGAAACTGAAGTCAAAGTTATTTTGTTTAATACACAAATCCTGCATATAAATATATGTAAGAGGGGAAAATAATGAAGAGAACTTGTAGTATCATTATGTAAAGCCTTTTACAGATGAATTCTGCTAAAGTGTCATAAGTATCTATGATGTAGTGTACATAATGTTTATGTTTTTGCATTTCTAATATAAAATATTTTTAATATTTTAATAATTTTGATTTTATATTATTTTATCAGAGATATATTGATTCTATTTTAAAAAGAGATACATATAATAAAGTATCATGTAGTATCATCTTCAAAAATCCACATACTTTATAGTAGAATTTCTCAACATGTAATTATTTAATTTAAAAAATAGAAAAATTAAATTTGTAAAAATCCTGGAATAATATGCTATTGCTTAACTATCTGTGTTACAAAATGATGTAAGTGTGTCATTGTTTTATTTATATAGGACTTGTATTTTGTTTCAGGATTACTATGACTCGCGTGGTTACCACGTGTAGAGAAGGACCACGATCAATGACTTTTACTTTATCATTCCTGCCATTGAACTGAATCTCCTTAGCCGTTACGTTGTTGTGTACCAGTAGGTGCAGCTTTAAACTCGATCACTTCCTAATGGGATAACTCTCTGTCCAGATGTTTTAAAGAAACCAAACATTGTACACTAAATCAGGGGAAGCTGTTGCCATCTGATTTTATTGTTTGACTGTGATAGATTACTATAATCATATTTTTATTTTGGGTAACCACAAAAAAGTGCTTAAATTTTTTATATTGATACTTGAGCAAAATTGCATTGATGTAAGGTTTGTCTTTATTAATAATCAATTTGAGTAAAAACTTACCTAAAACTCTAGCAGATCAGTAGAGTTTAATTGAAACATCAAAAAGCAGTACCACACCCAAAACTTAACATCCACCCAAACAAATCTTACATCACTGAGTTTTGTTACATTGAATTCAGATATCATATGGAGAATGGAGACAATATCTTCTTTTTTTTAACAAAAATGTCCTGATTGGGACCAATATTGTCATTATGCAAAATTAATCAACTGCTGATTTACGCGTATATTCAATTGTGATAAAATATACAATGTTTTCTTATGCATGCTTTATACATGTACATTACTGAGATACCAATTTTAGATATCAATGAAATCCTGCTAATTTACATGATGTACCGTCCAGTGAAATGTCCATTTGATCCCTCCATTTAGCAGTCAGGTATCCCATTGTGAACTGTGCATTCTATCATAGATGCTAATAGTTATTGTGATGTGTCAATCTAGTCTTTATGCTTTGTTTATATTCTGAATTGAATCAAGATGTCAATTTTTTATTGGTTTTATATTGTTTAAAACTGCTGTTGAAAAATTGTTAAGAAATCTAGAACAAAATTGTTTATATACATATACAGGTAGTTGTATTTCCACAGAGCTTGTACGACCTACTAAACCATGCAATACAACCAGTGCTGAGTGCAGGTGCAATGCTACATGTTTATAGTTTTTATTATTTGTCACTCTCAACAATTCGTGACTTTTTTGTCATGAAGCTCTATCCATAACCAGAGTCTCATCAGAATTCCGTCCACGTTTGATGTTTGTAACTTCTGAATCGAGCATGAGTCCAATTCACTGAAAAATAAAAAAAAAATTGTAGTACATCCTTAAAATTTCGACTCAACCATCCAATATCATCTACATTTGGGATAAAAATAAAACTATTCTGAAAAGGTTTCGAATAATACATGTAAATGAAAGCTGGATTTTTTTTTCTTTAAAAGTATTTGTTCACTGTTACGATATTAATTAAGGTTTTATGCAAGAAGTCAGAAGTTACTTACAGGATTGTAACATTGTTGTGACAGACACTTTTTAACTCTGTGGTAGATGTACTTAACTTGTTACAGAGCAAATATATTTCACTGCATTTGCCTTGTGTTATGTGTGTTTTCTATGAGGCTGCCTTTTATATGCTGTCAAAGTTATGTCAGAAGTTGAAAAAGCATGATAGTGGAGCTAATTAATGACAAAGCATAGTGAAATAGGTCTACTTACAAAAACGGAGAGCTCAATGCATGCAATACTAACAATAATAAACTATATAAAGCATACGGCTGTAACAATGATAAATATATACTTATGGATATGAATGCCAAAAGTAAATTTAAATAGAGCATATGAAATTATGATACACTGTATGAAAGAATACTAGTCATAAATAAAAAGGATATATTATTTACATTATTAACTGTTCAGTTTTGTTAAAAAAAACCACTTGCAGGAAAAACTAATAAAATTGTAGGTCTGACATTAAACATTACATTCTTAATAAAAATACGATTTGATTGTGATTATTATGGGACATCCCATATAACTACACTGTGAAGAGAAAATCAGGGGTCTCCACAATAGTTTAAAGTTCTACTGGTCAGAGACCAGAAGAGCTTATGCGATAGTAATGTGTCCGTTGTCAGTCCATCTGTCTGTCTGTAAACAATTTTTCAAAATGCTACTCCTCCTACAGTTTTGGTCTGATTTCAATATAACTTGACACACAAGTAGACTGCACTAAGATACATAATTCTGTGTGGTTTTTGATTTCGATGAACAGTGTTGCCCTGGTTACTAAAAATAGAAATTTTTGTGAAATACTTTTAAAATGCTACTCCTCGTACAGTTTTGGTCTGATTTCAATATAACTTGGCGCACAAGTAGACTACACTAAGATACGTAATTCTATGTATCGTTGTTTGATTTCAATAAACTATGTTGCCTTGGCTACTAAAATAGAAATTTCTGTGAAATACTTTCAGAATGGTACTCCAAATACAGTTTTAGTCTGATTATAATGTAATTAGGCATTACATTAGGCATGCAAGTAGACTACACTGTGATACATAATTATCAGTTTTGTGTGTTTGATTTTGGTGATTGATGTTGCCATGGTAACTTAAATTGAAAATTCTGTAAAGTTTTATTATAAGCTACTCCTACAGTTGTAGTGTTATTGCAATCTTGCCACAAAAAGAGACTTAATCAAGAATCATTATTCTATTTATTGCTTTTGTAAAGTTTTAAGTCCCAACAGCTACTTTTCTATTCCTTTACTATAAGTAACCACAAGTCTCTGTTGAGACTGAAGTTCTACTGGTTTTTACTTATACCAAAGGAAGAGAAAAGTAGCAGTTGGGAATTGAAACTTTACAACAGCAATAAATAGAATAATGATCCTTGATCCGTTATGTTCTTAGTGTAGTCTACTTGTGTGCCAAGTTATATATTTATTTTTAGAAACAAAGGCAACACCGTTCATCGAAATCAAAAATTGATAAACAGAATTATGTATCTTAGTGTAGTCTACTTGTGTGCTAAGTTATATTAAAATCAGACCAAAACTGTAGGAGGAGTAGCATTTTGAAAGTATTTCACAGAAATTTCTATTTTTAGTAACAAAGGCAACACCGTTCATCGAAATCTAAAATCGATATATGGAATTATGTATCTTAGTGTAGTCTACATATGTGCCAAGTTATATTGAAATCAGACCAAAACTGTAGGAGGAGTAGCAGACAGTTTTGGTCTGATTTCAATACCAGGGTATAACTTGGCACACAAGTAGACAACACTAAGTTACTCAATTTCGACGAACGATGTTGCCGTGGTTACTAAAAATAGAAATTTCTTTGAAATTGTTCCAAAATGCTACTCCTACTACAGTTTTGGTCTGATTTCAATATAACTTGGCAAGCAAAAAAAAAAAAAAGGTAATGTCCATTTCCCAAAAACGAAAAACCAATTTCGTGGGAGGGGGGGGGGGGGTAAACCAACGAAGCAATGATCAAATTCTAAACTAAGTATATATTTGGAAAAAAAGGGGGGGGGGCTAAGCCCCCCTAGCCCCCCCCCCCCCCCCCAGTTCCGACGCCTATGAGTAAACTATATAGTGCTTTCATAAACAAACGAGTAGTAAGCTTTCTTGAAAACCAAAAAGTTCTTGTAGATGAGCAAAACGGTTTTCGAAGACATAGATCATGTGAGGATCATATTTTTACTCTAAACAGTGTAATTAGAAATGCACAATCACTTTTTGTAGCGTTTATTGACTTGAAGAAGTGCTTTGACTTTGTAGACAGAAACATGATGTTGTACAAACTCTTGTTCACGGCGTGGATGGTAAAATTCACAATTCAGTCCGGAGTATATACCAGTCCTCAGAAGCCTGTAGCCTATTGAATGGAAAACGTACACCGTGGTTCTACTGTAAAACAGGCGTAAAGCAGGGAGATAATCTATCACCAACACTTTTCTCCATATTTACGAGGGGTGATCAAAAAGTTCGCGAACTATCTCTATATTTACAAAACCGCAATTCAGATCAGAATGAAATTTGGCACACAGAGAGTCATACACATGGTCTATAAATAGCATATGTAATAGAACGTTTTACCCCATGTTTGTGACGTCACAATTAAAAATGACGTCATAAGGTGGATCACTTGTGACAAAAACTGGTTGACTCAGTCGTATTCGAGAAACGAACGGCTGTAAAGTTAAACTATACGTATATCTTAGAAATTCACGTATATCTAAGAAATTCCTTTGTAGAAGTTTACAATAATTTTTACACGGTTAATGAAGACAAAAGACTTGCCATAAGTTTAGTCATTAATTGGATTGATTGTTTAAGTGATGGAAGGGAGATGTTTAAAAATGATGTTTGTTCTGTTGCCCGGTGAAAGCAAACTGGGAGAGAGACGTGTCTTTTGTTAAGCAATTTGATTTGAAAGATCGCCAACTTAAAGTTAGAAAAATAGATGCATATCTTTACAATCATATAGTTAAAAATATCGTTTACTTTAGACTTTCAACATATCAGATATGATAAAGTGAAGGCACCCATACTTTATCCACATGAAATAAACGACGCTAAAAAGACAGAGGACTTGGGTTTTGATGGTCACTATGCTCATACTACAAAAGGATATCATTACCCACCCAAACCATTGCAGATACTAGGCCATTTCTGACAAATTGACTGTTTTTGTTGCAAAAAATAACTTGCATGGTAAGAAATATAAGAGTCCGAAAAAATTTTAAGCTTCTGTGACAGAACGCTAAAGAGCATGTCACGTGATCGTCTATATCACGTGATCCGCGCATGGGAAGAATGGTTGCAGATGCGCATTAAAATAGGAGAATCCGATGGCTACTTTGAATTATTTTCAACACTGAAACCCCATATCATTTCTTTTTCGGAAGTTATTCAATTAGTTCGCGAACTTTTTGATCACCCCTCGTATAAACGATCTCGTGAAGGAAATCAATGCTCTTGACTTTGGGATAGACCTACCTGCTAGAAAACTATCTGTACTACTTTATGCGGATGATATCGCCCTCATTGCCAAGAGTCCAGAAGATCTACAGTGTATGTTGGATAAACTTCATCAGTGGTGCATGAGATGGAGAGTACTGATCAACACTGATAAATCAAAGTGTGTTCATTTCAGGAAAGTGAGAACGAAACAGACAACGTTTGAATTTGTTATCGGCAAAAATAGATTGGAGAAAGTTGACCAATACAAATATTTAGGTGTAACGTTCACTTTCAATGGAAACTTCACAGAGAATGCAAAGATTCTTTCAAAAGCTGGAGGAAGAGCGCTTGGGAAGATAATCTCCAAAATACATACCAATAAAGACTTTGGAATTAAAGCTTATGAGAGGTTGTATTACTCCTGTGAAGTTCCCGTTCTGGATTATGCATCGGGAGTATAGGGATACAGCAAATACCAGGCCGTTGAAAATATCCAAAACCGAGCAAACCGATATTTTTTGGGAGTGCATCGTTTTGCACCTAGACTTGTCCTATACGGAGATATTGGTTGGTTTATTTGATAAAATAAATTATGTCAAAAAGGACACTAGCTATTATCGACGGTGGGTGAATATGGTTCGGTATTGGAACAGAATTCTTGCGCGATGGACAATGACCGTATCACCAGGCTTGCATTCGATATGGATTATAGGCTTTGTACTAATAACCGGTGTAGTGAAATCAAGGATATATTCCGACAACTCCAACTAGGACATGTCTTTGACTCACAGGTAATGGTGGATATGAAAACGGCTGAACTGTGTATATTACGTAATTACTCATCTCTATGGGAAGTCGCTGTCTTATATACCCGATATTCCAAAACTACGTACATACGTAACTTTTAAATCCACCTATGAACAGGAGGAATATGTGAAACTAAACCTAAGCAAAACGGAACGCTCACACCTTGCCCAGTTAAGGTGTGGCATTTTACCTTTACGAGTAGAGACAGGACCTACATTGGTGAACGACCAGAAGAGAGAGTATTACGGTTCTGCGATGCCGGAGTTGCTGAAACGGAAACCCATTTTGTACTAGACTGTTCATTTTATACAGACATTCGACGAAGCTTCTTCGGTAATCTGATAGAATCTGATAAATTTCTATCTATGGATAGCAGTGAAAAAATGAAAACTTTGACAACTGATTACGCAAGGAAGCTCGCCAAGTTTGTGGTTAAAGCCTATACAGAAAGGAGAAATAACATTTATAAATGAATTTCTTGTTAAAATAACTGTTAATGCTATGGACAATTATTTCACTTCTATGAGCCTAAGTAAATTAGTCAGTGGAATATACAATGTACATACACTATCAGTATGTGGACAATCATTTTAATATTTCATTTCTATGAGCCCAAGTAAATTAGTGAATGAATTATACAATGTACATACACTATTAGTCCGTGAAGAAAATATATGATTTAAATGCAGGTGACATATAGGCCCAAAGGGCCGGGTGTATAAAGTTTCAGTCTTTATATTTGAGATATATTATAATATTATGTTGTATTATACAAGTCACTATAATAAATAAATTATCATTATTATTATTACAGAATATAGCTATTAGCCTGGTATTAGATAAACACTGAAGTTGTCACGGTACTACATTTGTGAACAGATTAATTAAGAATTGTTAGTGTCCTTTCCGACATATTTTATTTTATCAAATAAAATATGTCAGAAAGGACATTAATCATTCATGAAAAACACCGTTCTTTACTTGACTGCCCTCTCTTGCAGTTGTGACTTGCATAAATGGGTGTCCAACTTTTTGATTAATTTAAATAAAATCTGCAATGTTGGAAGTCATTGATCGCCTTTACCCTCGCTTTCCAATATTTTCAAATATTCTTAAACAGCATGCCTTCAAATTATTCATTTTGTAGAAAAAATATAGTTTTTGAAAGAGGATTTTTGGGAACATGGTTTTTATAGAAAACGATATTTGCTTCCGTATGAAAATGCTAAAACCTTATAAATGTACATCTAGTTCTATAAGAATTTTCCAGTCAATTTTACAACAAAGTAAAGTTTTTAAAAAGACTCGCGGGAACCAGTTTTAAAATCTTTTCTTAATCCTAAATAGCACCCAAGATAAAAAGGAACAAGCAAATTCAAACAATTGTGGTCCCCCGCTTTCGGTGTCTTTGTGGGTGAGATGTAATTTTTTATGACATATTGTGTCTAATATGAACACCCTATGATATGTCATTTTTTAAATATAAGGTCAATCGTGAAGGTCAAGGGGTAAGAAATCATAGCATGCTCGGAATTATCTTGTCACAGGTAATACACATGTCATATATGAAAGCCCAATCTCTTCTCAATATAAGGAACAAGATGTATTTGTGAAACCCTGATGACCCCGAATAGCAACATAACGAAGATTAAAAATTTTCTTAAATGCAAATTAAATATATTATTACCCAAAGTAGGGTTTTTCTCACAAGAAATACGATTGTGAAATACAAAATCCCTAGCACCACCTGTTCAAAAGTTATAGTCGAGGATAAATTTTTGAAAGGTAGGTCAAACTCCAAGGTGAAAGGGTCTGAGTTGTTGGTTTCTTAAGAAAGGTCTTGTCACAAGTAATACATATGTAAAGGATGAAAACCCTTACCCTCACCATTCAAATGTCATGGCCAAAGTTAAAGTTTTTTTTTAAAGTAGGTGAACTCCAAAGTCAAGGTCAAAGGGTTAAAGTTCTTGGTATCTAATGAAAGGTCTTCTCACAAGGATAACATATGTGAAGTATAAAAGCCCTAGCCCTTACCATTCAAAAGTTACAGTCAAGGTTAATGTCTTCATAAGTACGTAAATCTCCAAGGTCAAGGTCAAAAGGTCATGTTGGAGTCCAATGAAAAGGCTTGCCATAAAGAGTACATATGTGAAATATGAAAGTCCGTGGATTTACCGTTCAAAAGTTGTGACCAAGGTTAAAGTTTTTAAAAAGTAGTTAAAACTCCAAGTTCAAGGTCAAAGGGTCAAAGTTCTTGGTATCCAATAAAAGGTCTTCTCACAAGGATTAAATATGTGAAGTATGAAAGCCCTAGCCATTACCGTTCAAAAGTTATGGTCAACGTTAAGTTTTTTCATAAGTACGTAAATCTCCAAGGTCAAGGTCAAAAGGTCAAAGTTGTTGGTATCCAATGAAAAGTTCTTGCCACAAAAAATTACATATGTGAAATATGAAAGTCCTAGTATCTACCGTTCAAAAGTTGTGACCAAGGTTAGAGTTTTTAAAAAGTAGTTAAAACTCCAAGGTCAAAGGTATCCAATAAAAGGTCTTGCCACAAAGAATACATATGTGAAATATAAAAGTCCTAGTACCTACGGTACCATTCAAAGTTATGGCCAAAGTAAAAGTTTGGAATTTTTGTGTTAAAGTGGGCCAAACTCCAAGGTCAAGGTCAAAAGGTCAAAGAACTATATGCGGTATTAACCAACATTTGCCCCCCAAAATCAAACTTTGATGGAGTAATATTTAATTAAGTCCTTAAACAGGGGAGTATATGCTGACTTCAAAGCACTGAAAAATTTCATAAGTAATGACGTCATATGTTCGTAATGACGTCACAAATATGACGTAAATTTCAGTTTTCTATGAATTTTGCAGAAAAATGTACATATTTCGTAAATATTTTAAAATAAAAAGTCACCGAGCGCATGTGTGTTCAGGATTAATAATTTGATGTAATGTGTAGAATGATAATATCAATGAAATATGTCAAAATATATATGTTCCTGAACACACATGCGCTCTATAAATTCTAAAAAAAATTGTTGAAATTTTGTCCATTTTGTCCTCTTTCTGAAAAAGGATATAAAATGTTGAATATAGTTTGTTCATTTGACCCTGTTAAAAACAGAAATTGTGAATACACTGCTCTGGAACTATAATATTTTCTGTTAACTTATATTTCTCGTGTACATACAATTTATTGAATTCAGCACATTTCAGGAAGTTTTCAAAATTTGACTTTTGTGGGTTTTCAAACATATGCAATATACACATATACTCTTTGGTGGTTACCCAAATTAAATTTTTTTAATGGAATATATATGTGAAATATGAAAGTCATAGCTCCACTAAATCAAAAGTTATGGGCAAGGTTAAAGTTTTTGTGACGGACGGATGGACAGACTGACTGACTAACGGACAGCTAGACAGACGACTGAGATTAAATGTTTCCTCGCTTTCGCGAAAGCGGGGAAAAAATCCAAAACTATAGTATTGCACATGTACAGGACACGACCAATGAATTGACTACTGTCATCAATCAAACATAAAGCTTTTCATCTTCATAATCGGTTGCCATATGTATGCAGAGAAACGATCTTCTTTAGGATTTCTTAATGCAGGTTCATTTTGTTGTTTGGCTGTTTCCTTGACAATCCATTCCATTAATTTATCGAACTCCGTTTCCACTTCGTCAGTGGGTCTGATTGTCGTCAGAAAAGCTTCACAAGGCCTATCTTTCTGAATGGTCTCAATTTCTAGTTCTTCCATTATCTCATCTTTTGACATACTATCGGGAAAATCTCTCATATTCAAAGCGACAGCAATAGGAACACCATTCACTTCAACTTCTGAAGGCGCAAGTCTATGTAGTTCCTCTTTTGCATCTGTAATTTTATTTCTGTTGATACAGTCTACAACAAGCACAAAAGCATTAGTCTTTGGGTAGTAATGCCTCAAGAGCGGCCTCATTTTATCCCTTGTACCTACATCCCAGGCGCGGATCCAGGATCTTGAGTTAGGGGGGGCGCCAAAATAGGCAAGGGGTCTGGGGGCCGCCTTGAGGCCCCCAGTGGGTCCAGGGCCAAGCCCTGGTGGGGGCCCAGGGGGCGAAGCCCCCGGAAGCTCCTGGATTCTAGAGATTTTGAAGGGTTAAAATGAGGTCTACCAAAGCCCTGGTGGGGGCCCAAACTGGATTCTAGAGATTTTGAAGGGTAAAAATGAGGTCTACCAAGTAGACATATTTGATTTACGCTAACTTTGACAATTTTAGGGGGGGCGCGCGCCGGGTGCGCCCCCCCTTAAATCCGCCACTGCTGATCCCAAACTGCCACGTCTAGATTCTTGAATTTCAATGTCTCCACAGTAAATCCTATGGTAGGAATTGTTGTGACAATTTCTCCGAAATGGTAATGGAATAGAATGCTTGTTTTTCCGGCAGCATCCAAGCCAAACATCAAAACCCTCACTTTTTTACGTCGGCAAAATATACCAGCCAAATTCCCCATTTATGGCTTACAGGAATAGCGTATTCCTTAAATGGCTTAACCAGAGAAAATAAACAATCTCACATGAACATCGAGTCCGATGTAAAAATACTTGGTCTATGGAACAGTTATATATAGGTGGTCAAGGTTTTGTCAGAGACATATAATATCATATGTCTCTGATTTTATATTTGATTCAATGAAATATTTTTAAATCTTAAACAAGAGGCCCATGGGCCACATCGCTCACCTGTGAAGCTTTGACCATTCTGTTCTTTACCAGATTCGCCCCTTGTAATACATAATGCATCCCCAACCTACCCCACTTATCATAATGTAGACATTTTGAAATCTACACTACCCCAGGATCCTTCCATGTGCCCATTGGTTCTTGAGAAGAAGATTTTCAAAGATTTTTGCTATATATTTCTATGTAAAACTTTGATTCCCCATTGTGGCCCTGCCCTTCCCCCCGGGGGTCATGATTTGAACAATTTAGAATCTGCACTATACCAGGATGCTTCCACATAAGTTTAAGCTTTTCTGGCCCAGTGGTTCTGGAGAAGAAGATTTTCAAAGATTTTTCCTATATATTTCTATGTAAAACTTTGATTCTCCATTGTGGCCCCGCCCTTCCCCCGGGGGTCATGATTTGAACAATTTAGAATCTACACTACCCCAGGATGCTTCCACATAAGTTTCAGCTTTTCTGGCCCAGTGGTTCTGGAGAAGATTTTCAAAGATTTTTCCTATTTATTTCTATGTAAAAATTTGATTCCCCATTGTGGCCCCGCCCTTCCCCTGGGGGTCATGATTTGAACAATTCAGAATCTACACTACCCCAGGATGCTTCCACATAAGTTTCAGCTTTTCTGGCCCAGTGGTTCTGGAGAAGAAGATTTTCAAAGATTTTTCCTATATATTTCTATGTGAAATTTTGATTCCCCACTGTGGCCCCGCCCTTCCCCCGGGGATCATGATTTGAACAATTTAGAATCTACACTATACCAGGATGCTTCCACATAAGTTTCAGCTTTTCTGGCCCAGTGGTTCTTGAGAAGAAGATTTTCAAAGATTTTTCCTATATATTTCTATGTAAAATTTTGATTCCCCATTGTGGTCCCGCCCTTCCCCCGGGGATCATGATTTGAACAATTTAGAATCTATACTATACCATGATGCTTCCACATAAGTTTCAGCTTTTCTGGCCCAGTGGTTCCTGAGAAGAAGATTTTCAAAGATTTTTCCTATATATTTCTATGTAAAAACTTGATTCCCCATTGTGGCCCCGCCCTTCCCCCGGGGGTCATGATTTGAACAATTCAGAATCTACACTACCCCAGGATGCTTCCACATAAGTTTCAGCTTTTCTGGCTCAGTGGTTCTTGAGAAGAAGATTTTCAAAGATTTTTCCTATATATTTCTATGTAAAACTTTGATTCCCCATTGTGGCCCCGCCCTTCCCCCGGGGGTCATGATTTGAACAATTTAGAATCTACACTAAACCAGGATGCTTCCACATAAGTATCAGCTTTTCTGGCCCAGTGGTTCTGGAGAAAAAGATTTTCAAAGATTTTTCCTATATATTTCTATGTAAAACTTTGATTCTCCATTGTGGCCCCGTCCTTCCCCCGGGGGTCATGATTTGAACAATTTAGAATTTACACTACCCCAGAATGTTTCAACGTAAGTTTCAGCTTTTCTGGCCCAGTGGTTCTTGAGAAGAAGATTTTTTAATGACCCCACCCTATTTTTGTCTTTTCTTGATTATCTCCCCTTGTGAGGGAGCTTGGCCCTTTATTTTAACAATTTAAATTCCCCTTCACCCAAGGATGCTTTGTACCAAGTTTGATCAAATTGGCCCAGTGGTTCTTGAGAAGAAGTCGAAAATGTGAAAAGTTTACAGACGGACAGACAGACGGACAGACAGACAGACAGACAGACGGACGGACGACGGACAAAATGTGATCAGAAAAGCTCACTTGAGCCTTCGGCTCAGGTGAGCTAAAAACTGCAGGTCCATAACATGCAAGCATCTCAGACCATATGAAGTGTGTTCAAATTTTGACAACAGGGTTAGAGATAGTGGCATTGACTGGTTGAGTGACAATAAGCAGAAGAAAATTCAATTCTAATCTCTTTAAATTTAACAGGGTCGATATACCAGCCTTTCAGATCTAATTTAGCATCTTCATGAAGGTTGCAAGTCATGACCTCTGTGGCGCAGGGTCAACATTTCACAAAGGAATGTGTAGGGGGAAAATCCATGATAATATGATACCTAAAAAATCAAGATGGTTTACTCTGGATCCACATACGTCGCCAGCCAGGTCTACCCGTCATTGGTCGTTTCGAATCCTGCATACTTCATCTGCCAGATCTTGAAACGTTTTCTTTCTCTGGTAGGCCTTATCATACCTCTCTTCCCAAAATACAATTAACTCATCTGTTATGACTTTCATACTGTAATAAGACCAAAGCAATATGTTTGAAACAGGTTTGTCTGTATGTTGTTTGGTAATATCAGTTTTCGACCAAGTTCCACCTACATCTCCATTGAAGCTGATAGGATTCTCGATTAGGGTATTGGGCAACTCTTGGTGTTTCACCTTCTTTTAAAGAATTGATGAATTGTTCATCTGTTCCGTCCCCTTTTCTGTTCTTTTCTAGATTGTCTGCTAGCTCTCTCAGTACTAGTTCGCGTTACCTGCTGTATGATCTGCCTTGTGTTAAAGCAACATTGCAAGATGATAAAATATGTTCTAGAGTGTCTGTCTTCGCCTTTGTCTCGCAGTTTATGTTTTCTTCAAGTCTTCAAAAGTGCAGTTTTGTTGGTGAAGGGAGTAGGTTATAGACATATATTAGAAGGAACAAATGCGGTATGGCTCCATCCGCCTAATTTCTCCCCATTTTAACTTTATTTCTGTTGTTGCCTACATTATACCGGGGGTATATGTGCCTTGTCCTCACTTTTCCGTTACTTAGGTTTTTTCTCATTTCTTATTCCATTTTCTAAATCTTAGCCTGGACCACTCCATGTTTTTTTTTTGTTTTTTCTGCATTGTTAGTCTCCAACTCTACGTTTGGTTCCATGTCCCTGCTTCACCTATACTATTGTGCTCATTCTATCTGTATTTTTAAGTCTGTTTTTTTTGCATGCTGGACTGCATTTCTGGATTGACAATTTCCTTCTAGTTTTTAATTCTCTTCTTTCTCTTCAAATCTACTCATCTTTTGAGTCTCCTAGGGTGAAAACTAGCCTGGTTTTAGGACATTATACAAAGATTGTAATTAAGTCTTCATTTAACCTATATTAACATCAACAGTAATAATGTTCTTAAAGGGACTGAAGTTGAAATAAAAAAGAAAAGTAAGAATACTGAAATGGATTTGTGTAAGATTTTCAATATCTGGGCACTGTAGGGTTTTTTGTCATTGAAAATCTGTATCTGTAAAATGCAGGGTGTATGCTTCAGCTTGATATATGGTGGAATGCAAAACTGAACTCGTTTATTATTAAGAATGTTATTTATTTTCACAGCATCTATCACTTGTTTGCAAATTTAAGTCTTGTATTCTGTGATAAAAGAATCTAAGTATGGACTTGCTTTATTTTCTTCAAATATTTTATTCAAAAATTTCAAGGAAACACAATTCAGTTTTGTGCGAATGAGATGTTTTGTTTTGAACATATTTTATTGACAACAAGGATTGGACACAAGTTCCAAAAACTTAGATAGGCTTCTCCCATACATAAAATTTCAGAAGCCATACACTATTTACAATGTTTTACAATAATATACATGAAAACAATAGCTAGTATTGCCAAAAATATCAATTAATATTATGTTTATTATAATGACGACAACAACCATAAAAAATAGTTTCAAAAGAGGTAGTAAATACAAACAAGCAAATTCAAAGAATTGTGGTCCCCCCGCTTTCGGTGTCTTTTTGGGTGAGATGTCATTTTTTAATGACATTTTGTGTCTAATATGAACGCCCTATCATATGTCATCTACTTAGAATATTATCACTGAACTCCAAGGTCAAGGGGTCAAAATTGTTAAAGTTTTTGGTATCCAATGAAAAGTCTTCTCAAAAGAATTACATATGTGAAGTATAAAAGCCCTAGCCCTTACCATTCAAAAGTTATGGTCAAGGTTAAAGTTTTCTCATAAGTACAAAAAATCTCCAAGGTCAAGGTAAAAAAGTCAAGGTTGTTGGTATCAAATGAAAGGTCTTGCCACAAGGAATACATATGTGAAAGATGAAAGTCCTGGTATCTACTGTTCAAATGTTGTGACCAAGGTCAAAGTTTTTGAAAAGTAGGGCAAACTCCAAGGTCCAGGTCTAAGGGGCAAAGTTTTTGGTATTCAAAGAAAGGTCTTCTCACAAGAATTATATATATGAAATAGGAAAGCCCTAGCCCTTACCATTCAAAAGTTATGGTCAAGGTTAAAGTTTTTTGATAAGTTCGGAAATCACCAAGGTCAAGGTCAA